ATATATATATATATATATATATATATATATGGTCATCCCATCATATTTAGTGTGTGGTCGCATCGCAAGTGTTTTTCCTTCAACTAATTCCAAATTAAAACTTAATCAAACGATGTTAATCATATGGATTGGAGCACAAGAAAAGTTTGTCACTTTGATGCTGTTTGGTCATTGATCACAACATATGAGACAAAATTTGTTATGTTTGGTTAAATGTACGAAAGATATACCTTTAAATCTTCATCCTCGGAATGAATTACTTTGACCAGAAAAGACGAAAGATAAACCAAATTATTCACAGCAGAAAAGAAGGTTGAAAGATATATATGGATTCCAAAACTTATGCCTTGTCATTCACCAAACTCTACGCAGTTGATTGAACATTTTTGTCTTTGAAGAGAAATCAAAATTTTATTGATTCAGAAATGGAAGGGGCTTCTTGAATAAAAACAAAATCATATCAATCAAATTAGATATTTTTATAGCAGATCAAGTTCTTTTGGACGTTCAAATTAAGAATCGAGCTATGCTAGCTAGGGACATGTTCTTGCAATACCTGGAAATTACTCGAGGGAATTTTTGAATCCGAGATCGTCAAGCTATTAGTATATTTCTTTGATTAATTACAATTTCGAACCTCTTACCACACCAAACATAAGTTTTTTTAAATTTTGAGAATATATATGCAGCGGAATGAATGATTGTCTAAGTGAGCCCACCAAGCAATATGAGTTATTTAAAATGAATATTTATGTGTGTAAAGCGCACTGAAGCAAGCATATTTATGGTTTAGAAAAATATTTGGAAGAGCGTGTAACCTGTGAACACGAAATCCCTAAAGATGAAAATAGCAAGTGTTGCATGTAGATATGTAAAATGTTGGTTGCCGAGAAAGTTTTGTTTGCCTTTAGTACTCCACCATCTTTGCCCAAAAAGAGCTGAAAGCACCATAAAGGTTTTGATAATTCATGTCAGACCCAAAAAGAAAAAGTTCATCAAATATCAAGCAAATATGATATATATATTCCCACGCAGGCAGTTTGCCGTTTCAATTGTTTCTATTTATTGCTGGTGCAAAAATGAAACAAGGACGAATATATATACTTATTCTTTTCTGTTAGGTCAAATTCAATCGATAGCTATGTGTCACAAATTCAATCGATAGCTATGTGTCACAAATTCAATCGATAGGCTGCTTCCAAGAGTGCTCTTGGGTTAAGTCCCCGTGTTATTTGTGTGTGTGAGCGATTCCACTTCTGTCCATTCAAGTAAAAAAGTAGGAAAAAAAATATTGCATTAAAATTCAAGTAAAACAAGAAAACTAGAGCGAATCTATATACTTTTTGTAGGTGAGAACACGATAGTCCGCGTTGAGGCACACTCTTAACAACCATCAATATAATGTGTCGGGAGTTTTTAAAAAAGGACATTGCTTTCCTCTTTTTTAGAATAAGAGACATTCTTACTTAATGTAAATCACAGTTTGACAAACATGCCAAAATAATTCAATAAAAACACAAAAAGAAAAATCTCTACATTCATGTCAAAATATGATTGACAGGAAAGTAAGAGTTTCTACTTCCAAGAAAGGAGGCAAGTATTTTCCTTTAAAAAATTTGACACTCATCATCATGACCATGGTGAGACATTTTGCCCAAATATATAATTTGTTTCTTATTTGAATAGCAAGAAGATACTTTGGGTGTAAACTTTTCTCTCTTTATTAAGTTCATATTGCTGAATGTGACAGTCCACCATATTCTATGCATTATTGACAAAAATCAAAATCCACCTACATATGCTTATTCCAAAAGGAAAATGAAGAGACTCACAAATTATTATTATTATTTATTGTTTTGGTTAAAACACGCAT